CAGGCCTCCCGATGGATCAGGGCCTGATCAACTAGGCTGTTACTGCTGGCCGCACGCAGTCCAACGTACGAGCCACAGCCCGGCTGATCCGGCACTGACTTTAGGTATCCGTCCAGCTCTCTCTTGAAGGCAGCCAGGGGTTTATTGGCAATTCCCCTAATGCTTGATGGGAGGCTGTTGAACAGTCTTGGGCCCCGGATACTTATGGTGTTTTCCCTTAGTGTACCAATGGCGCCCCTACTTTTAATTGGGGGCATTTTGCATCGCCTGCCCAGTCTTTTACTTTCGTAGGGAGTGATTTCTGTGTGCAGATTTGGGAACATTCCTTCCGGGATTTTCCAAGTGTAGATTATATCTCTCTCCCTCCTGTGTTCCATCGAGTACAAGTCAAGTGCTTCCAAGCGTTCCCAGTAGTTAAGGTGCTTGACAGAACTTAAACGTGCAGTAAAGGATCTCTGTACACTCTCTAGATCTGCGATTTCACCTGCTTTGAATGGAGATGTTAATGTACAGCAGTATTCCAGCCTAAAGAGAACAAGTGATTTGAAAAGGATCATCATGGGCTTGGCATCTCTCGTTTTGAAAGTTCTCATTATCCATCCTATCATTTTCTTTGCACGTGCGATCGTGGCACTGTTGTGATCCTTGAAAGTGAGATCCTCAGACATTACTACTCCCAGGTCCCTTACATTATTTTTCCGCTCTATTGTATGGCCAAAGTCTGTAGTATACTCTGTTCTAGTTATTATCTCTTCCAGTTTTCCATAACGGAGTAGTTGGAATTTGTCCTCATTGAACATCATATTGTTTACCGTTGCCCACTGGAAAATTTTGTTTATATCTTCTTGGAGGTTAACCGTGTCCTCAGCAGATGACAGCCTCATGCAGATCCTAGTATCATCCGCAAAGGATGATACGGTGCTGTGATGTATATCTATGTCTGATATGAGGATGAGGAATAAGATGGGGGCGAGTACTGTGCCTTGTGGAACAGAGCTCTTCACTATGGCAGCCTCCGATTTAACTCTGTTGACCACTACTCTTTGTGTTCGATTTGTTAGGAAGTTGAAGATCCATCTCCCCACTTTCCCAGTTATTCCTTTAGCAGGTATTTTATGGGCTATTACGCCATGATTGCATTTGTCAAATGCTTTTGCAAAGTCTGTGTATATTACATCTGCATTCTGATTTTCTTCCAGTGCATCCAAGGCCATATCATAGTGATCCAGTAGTTGTGAGAGGCAGGAGCGACCTGCCCTGAACCCATGTTGCCCTGGATTGTGCAGATTTTGGGAATCCAGGTGATTTGCAATCCTGCTTCTTAGCACTCTTTCGAAGATTTTTATGATGTGGGACGTCAGAGCTATTGGTCTATAGTTCTTAGCTAATGCTTTGCTGCCACCTTGAAAAATCCTAGAAGGAATGGTCCCGAATCTGCACACAGAAATCACTCCCTACGAAAATAAAAGACTGGGCAGGCGGTGCAAAATACCCCCAATGAAAAGTAGGGGCGTCATTGGTACACTAAGAGAAAACACCGTGTCTGGGGCCCAAGACTGTTCAACAGCCTCCCACCATGCAGAAGGGGAATTATCAATAGGCCCCTGGTTGCCTTCAAGAGGGAGCTAGACAGATACCTAAGTCGGTGCCGGATCAGCCAGGCTGTGGTTCGTACGTTGGACTACGTGTGGCCAGCAGTAACAGCCTGCTTGATCAGGCCCTGATACACTGGGAGGCCTGGTCGTTGACTGGGCTGGGGGGGTTTGATCCCCGGAATACACTCAAGGTAGACCAGACTACGGGGGCGATGAACCCCTGGAACACCCTCTAGATATACCCTCCCCAACACAAACCCAACTTACCCTCCCCCGCACTAAACCAACTTATCCTCCCTCACACTAAACCATCCTACTCTCCCCCACATAAACCCAACATTGCCTCCCCACACTAACCGAATCTATCCTAGCCTTTATCAACCTACCCTTACAATACCTTACCGACCCTAACCCAGCCTAGCAGTTGTGGATGGAGTAAGCATGGAGGTGAAGTATTGGTGGTAGCAGCCAAGGAGTGGGCGTGGCACTCACTGGCACTGGAAGCATGTTGGCGGCGACGAGGGCTTGGTGGTGGCGGTGAGGGCGTGATGGTCTACCTGGAGGGGCGTGGTGGCGGCGGTGGGGGAAATGGCGTGGTGGCGGTGGTGGGGGAGTGACGGTGGTCAGGAGTGGAGTGGTAGTGGAGTGGTGGGGAATGGTAGGAGTGGAAAGGGAGCGGTGGGGGAGTGGTGGAGACGTGGTTGATGTATAGTTGGGGTGGTGGGGGTGAGGTGGTATTGAAGTAGTGGTTACATGGGAAGAAGGGAGTTCTGAGGAGGGTTGGGGATGCTAAGGGAGGGATGCTAAGGAAGGGTGCTGAGGGAAGGACGGATGTGGAGGATGTTAAGAGAGGGATGGAGGAGGCGGCAGAGTGAGGAAGAAGTGCTAAGGAAGGAGGGTTCTGAGGGAGGGAGGCTTGTGCTGAGGGGCTTATAGGGAAGGAGGGGTGCAGAGGAAGGAAGGGGGCGCTGACGAAAGGTGGGACGGGGGTCCTGGGGTTGAGTGGGTACTGAGGGAGGGAAAGAATGCTGATTGGAGATGTGGGGCAAGGGAGGGAAGTCCGGAATTAGGAATTGGGTGTAGATTATAGGGTGACAAATAGGAATAGGGAGGCGTTAACCTGAGTACAGTAGTGTAAGCGTTGGGAGGCGGCTATGGGAGTAGGGTGTAGGCGTTGCGAAGGGGGAAGGTTGAAAAGGGGTATGCATGCTTTGAGAGGTCGAGTAGGAGTACAAAGTAAGGTTAAGGTAAAATGTAGGTATTTCTAAAGCGGGTGAGAAAGTTGTGGGCACTAAGAATGGGGGGGGGGAAGAAAGATGGAGCCATATAGACGGGTTGGGGAGGGGGGTAGTGGAGGGCATGCTAGTGGCTCCTTGAGCTTAACAATATTTTATACAATGTAACTCTCACACTGTATAACATGCACAGAAATAAAATTTGTATTTGTATTTGTGTATGCTTCTTAAGCCTATCCTATGTAGGATAGGCTTAAGAAGCTGCGTATCGAATGGGGTAAGGGAGGAGCATATTGAAGACTAATTCAGATTATTAACTCCGACGGATAGTAACCCAGTTAAGCTTATTGCATTGGTATCCACATTTTAAGTCCTTCCCAAAGATGCGACCCTCAACAGTCAACTAAGTGTTGGAAACCTGCTGTCTCACTTCACAGTGGGACTCGACTACACATTCCCTTGGGTGTCAGGTAAGCGTGCTAACCATTGCGCTAGGAGAAAAGTCACGGGGAAAGTGGGTAGTAGTATGGAGCAGGGGTTGAGAGGTAGGTGTAAGCGTATAGACGGGGGTCAGGGAGGAGCGTATAGGCGTTCAGGAGGGTAGGAGTTTGGGGTGAGGATTCAAGGACGGGAGGGGGGGGGACCGAGAAGTCCAGGATGGGAGGGATAGATGGGGGATAGGGGGAGGAGGGCCACCAGGGCTGCCAACACTGCGCTGCAACCCACCCATTTGTATCACGTGGCTCTTAGGCCTAGCACACCAGCCCGGCTTCTTACAATAGTGACATATTAACACTGATTCTGCTAGTTTTATAAGAACTCTGCTATTTCTGCTTCCTTTGTGTCTATGAAAAATTTTAGGGAGACATACTTTAAAAATACTAATATTTACAATTATATCAATGGGATTTAGGCACCAGTTTCAGGGTTATCATTCAGTACTGATTAACTAGGATACTTACAATGATAAACACAAGCACATATTATCATCATACTCAACTATCATAGTACCTTTAATAGCTTTCAGGAATAATTTATAATGAAAATAAGCAAAAGCTAAGATCTACTGACTTCTGGCAACGAATCAATATCGACCTTTTGTATAACCTTAATCGAGTACATGTTTATGCTATCATGCTTGCCAAATGAATAAATACTACTGTTAGGTTTAAAACATAGATGAGGAAATGAATGTCACCAGGGTGTGTAACGCAATCAATATGACAGCACAAATAGCGGAGGCAGGCCGGCCTCCCAGCGCCGTTAGGCCTCCTTACTTGCTGCCAGTCATGCGCACCCGGGGTTACGCCGTTCTGGACGCCGCTTACAAATTACCACATTAGGCGTTACGAACTACTCTTCATGCCAACTAAATGCAGTTTGTTACCTCCACTACGTGCAAGCATTTACTAAACCACATGATTTAAAGAAAAAACTAATATTAAAAGAGAAAATCAATTTCTTCAATCCAACTGGAACGCATACGCTCGCGCATATCCGTCCGGTAGGCCTAAAGTTGCCGGCTATATTTGTCACTGTATGGACCGTTACGGGCCATATTTTACTTGATCCTGACTTCAGTCTGCTCTAGCCACCACATCGCACCTCTAGAGTGCAAGTATACAACGTATATCAAAAGAAATCCGCAATGTTTACACCCGAGGCCCGCCCATAGTGGAAGCCATATTGAACGTATCGTTCGTTACTCCCAGCAGAACTTTGCAGCCTCTTCCCCGACACTACACAATTAACACGGTCACTATGATGCTGCAGCAAGAAACTGTGCCATCTCCTACGTACCATTTAGTGCCTCGATGGCCCTGTCGATGCCTGTCTGGTCCGTGCAGTCGACGAAAGCATAGCCTCCTCGCTTCACAAGCACATTAGTGGTATTCACTCCCTGATCCGAGAATAACTGACGGAGTGTCCCTTCATTCACATCTGTCGGAAGGTTCCCCACATACAATTTGGACATCATAATGACGGAATGTTGGGTTATGCACTGGTATCACTGATTGGGCTATTGCAAGTAGGTAGGGGGTGTTTGAACTGAGATGTGAGCAGATTCACACTTGTTTCCCTGCTTGCCGGCGATCGCTGACTTATCACGTGGGCGGGGCGCTGCTGCCGGGGGAGAGGCGTGGCTTAGCTCCCCCAAGGGGCGGGACTGACAGCGATTCCCTCTCTTATTGGCTATTCGGCCCAATCAGCGTTATGATTGGTTTTAGGGCTCGCAGCGGACCGGGAGATTGGCCAATCAGTGCTCCGCACAGTTGCCCACGTGACCAGAGGTGAGTTATTGGCTCAGTGTTCATTGGCGAAATTCGTTTCAAAATAGCAAAAATGATAGATTCTAGTAAACATGTGACATATGTATGTTGTGTACCTAGGCCCATGGGCCTATAGGCCTTAGTAATAATTCAGTAAGTGTTTGCCAGTGAGTAATACATCCAGGAAAACAGTGTAATAGGCTTGGATCACTGCCAGCTGAGTGTCTCAAAAGGAAAAAAAAAACTTCCCCCCTAGTGTTCAAAGCCTCCTGTTTCGCGCATGTACACTGCCAACAAAAAATAAGAAAATAATTAACTTCACCGAAGTGTCAGCTGTACTTGTAGTGCACATTTAACACATAAAGCCCAACCCTTTCGAAGTGACCATTGATAACTTGACCACTTTAATTCCTTTTTTGGGTACAGGAGACCTCAAGTGTTTGTTTACATGAAGGGGCGACGGCAGTATTCATATTTATTATTTACCAACTGATATTTCCCCCTCCATATTATTGTCAAACTTGAAAAATCAGGCTTTTTCTTTTATTGTACATATTAATACCTGTAAATACATGTTAAAGAGGTTTTCTGTCAGTAAGCTAATAGTCTCGTATTTAAACATCTCAAAATAAGTGAATGCAGCTTGAAAATATTAATTATAATTGATTCACTACAGTGTAATACTATTAATTATTAGCACATTATTTCTGTGTATCTTTGTAGTATATAATGTAAACATATACTTAAACCCAAAATTTGTTCTATGTGAACGTAAGCTTAAGTAACAGAAGAATTGGGAAGACCTTTAGTAGTTTCAGACCCATACTGGTTATCTCTTCCTCATTAATAATAACAGTATTAATGCTGTTTGACTTAGGAGTTTGACTAGACCATTACTCTAGGGGTGGTGTGATAGTCTGATGTTCTGCTTGCTGTATTAGATGACACACTGCTAGGTTAAGTTCACTAACTCCCACAGGATGTCATTGTAGAAGTCAGCATAGGGAAATATTAGCTTCTCTTTCTTGCTGAATGAGTGTAACGTATTGATTTCTGCTGTAACTTATTGCTAGGCTTTAAATAAAATATTTTCATTGGGGTCCTTTAAATAAGTCACTTTGTTTTTGGGGTTATCCTAGGTAATTTACACATATGATACTATGATAATTGTATGTGGACCTGTTCCTAAATAAATTTACTTACTTACTAAAAGCTTTACTCCACAAAATATGGTTTTACATTCTATTTTGCATTTATACAATAATTTCCCTAAATTGTTATAGGCACAGTGATAGTAATTTATGTTGATTTGATACAGGATAGCCCAAAAGTGAAAAAATATAGGAGTTTCAGTTTTTGTAAATATAATAATTTTATTCTCATTATTATATTTGGATGAAGTAAGCATGATGTGTTATGGGTGCAAGTTATGTGATGTTATGTAAAGGACTGGTTATATGGGACACTATTGCCTTACTTGGTCAATACAGGTAAAGCATTAGTGGGTTACTATTGAACACCCAGGATGCATTTGTGTGACATAATGCACATTCAGTAAGTGCAGGTACAGCTGTACCTATATAAATACCATCATTGTATCTCACACCATCACTGTACCTACACTCTCACCATCACTGTACCTACACTCTCACCATCACTGTACCTACTCACCATCACTGTACCTACACCCTCACCATCATTGTACCTACACCCTCACCTTCACTGTACCTACACTTTCACCATTTCTGTACCTACATCCTCACTATCATTGTACCTACACTTCACCATCACTGTACCTACATCACATCACTGATCATTCACCATCACTGCACTCACCATCACTGTACCTACACTCACTATCACTGTACCTACATTCTCACCATCACTGTCCTACATTCCACTCATCTGTACACTACATCAGTCTACACTCACCACTGTACCTACATCTCACCATCACTGTCACTTCTCACCATACACGTACCTACACCATCACTGTAACCTACACTCACCATCCTGTACCTACATCTCACCATCACTGTACCTACTCACCATCACTGTACCTACACCCTCACCATCATTGTACCTACACCCTCACCTCACTGTACCTACACTTACCATTCTGTACCTACATCCTCACTATCATGTACCTCACTCTCACCATCACTGTACCTACACTCACCGTACCTACACCACCATCTGTACCTACATTCTCACCATCACTGTACACTACACTCACCATCACTGTACCACACTCTCACTATCACTGTACCTACACTCACCATCACTGTACCACACTACACTCACTGTACCTACACCCTCACCATCACTGTATCTGCCTCTCACCATCACTGGGACCTACACCTCATCCACCATACACTCACCATGCTGTACCCACACCACTTCACTGTACCTACACCACCACACTTTCTAAAACTCTCACTATCACGTACCTACACCCATACTAAACCTACTCACCTGTACCTACACCCCTCACTATCACTGTACTACCTCTCACAATCACTGTACCTAACCCCCACTATCACACTACTCTCTCACCACACTGTACCTAACCCAACATCATGTACCTACACCTCCCACATTTTACCTACACTCCCACATCACTGTACCTACACTCCCCATCACTGTACCTACACCCTCCCCATCACGTACCTAAAACCCTCACATCACTGAAACCTACACCCTCACCATCACTGTACCTACACTCTTACCATCATGTACCCTGCACTCCTCTCCATCACTGTACCTACACCCTCACCATCACTGTACCTACACTCACCATCACTGTACCTACACTCACCATCATTGTACCTACACTCTCACCTTCACTGTACCTACACCCTCACTATCACTGACTACTCTCTCATCATCACTGTACCTACACCCTAACCATCACTGTACCTACACCCTCACCATCATTGTACCTACACTCTCACTATCACTGTACCTACACTCTCACCACCATTGTATCTACATTCACCATCACTGTACCTACACTCTCACCATCACTGTACCTACACCCTCACCATCACTGTACCTACACTCTCACCATCACTGTACCTACACCCTCACCATCACTGTACCTACACCCTCACCATCATGTCCCTTACACTCTCACCACATGTACTCCCTTACCATCACTGTACCCACACCATCACTGTGCCTACACCCTATCACTGAACGTACACCCTCACCATCACTGCATCTACATTCACCATCACTGTACGTACACTCATCACTGTACCTATACCCTTACCATCATCATACCTGTACCCTCACTATCACTTTACCTATACATCTCACCTTCACTGTACCAGTACCCTCACCATCACAGTACCTATACATTCACCATCACTTTACTTACACTCACACTATCATTGTACCTATACCCTCACCGTCACTGTACCAATACCCTCACCATCATTGTATCAGTACCCTCACCATCACAGTACCTACACCCTCACCATCACTACCAATACCTTCACCATCACAGTATCTGTAGCATCACAGTACCTACATCCTCACCATCACCATCAACAACAGAACACATGCACACAATACAAGGAGCAAGTAGTATCTCACACACCAGGTGTATGACTCAACTTTTTCAGAAACTCCAGGTCAATAAAAGGCCCAAAAATATGGAACTCGCTGCCAGAAAATTCCCAAAGTTTCCCATCTGCCAACAGGCTTTAATTATATTCTTCAAGGGCGCCTATTACTCATATATGTACCCGTATGCTACGTGTAGCGTATAATTGAGTGTGACTGCTCATGTGTTTTTGTCACCAAGTTAGTTCAGTCACTCTGTGAGAAAAGGACACGAGTATTATTATTATTATTATTATTATTATTATTATTATTATTATTATTATTATTATTATTATTGTGGGGGGAGCGCTAAAACCAGAGGGATTATGCAGGGCCTGTGAGGGGGGGGAATGGAAGGTATTCAGGGTCAGTTCAAGGAACTGGAGCACAGATCTAATTACCTAGATCAAGAGCCCCTCACTAACATCAAGGAATTTCCCTTGAGGGAGGAAAAAGACAAAAAATTATTTTAAATCCATGTGAATTATTTCTAATTATCCAACTCATCATTTATGCTCTCATCATACTTGTTTCATCATACTTGTATCATCATACTTGTCTCATCATACCCTCATCTACTTGTCCTCAATACTGTCTCATCATACTGTTCATCATACTTTCTCATCATACTTGTTTCATCATACTTGTATCATCATACTTGTCATCATACTTGTCTCATCATACTTGTCTCATCATACTTGTCTCATCATACTTGTCTCATCATACTTGTCTCATCATACTTGTCTCATCATACTTGTCTCATCATACTTGCTCATCAACTTGTCTCATCATACTTGTCTCATCATACTTGTCTCATCATACTTGTCTCATCATACTGTATCATCATACTTGTATCATCAATACTTGTCTCATCATACTTGTCTCATCATACTTGTCTCATCATACTTGTCTCATCATACTTGTATCATTACTTGTCTATCATACTTGTCTCATCATACTTGTCTCATCATACTTGTATCATCATACTTGTCTCATCATACTTGTCTCATCATACTTGTCTCATCATACTTGTCTCATCATACTTGTATCATCATACTTTTTCATCATACTTGTATCATCATACTTGTCTCATCATACTTGTCTCATCATACTTGTCTCATCATACTTGTCTCATCATACTTGTATCATCATACTTGTCTCATCATACTTGTATCATCATACTTGTCTCATCATACTTGTATCATCATACTTGTCTCATCATACTTGTATCATCATACTTGTCTCATCATACTTGTCTCATCATACTTGTATCATCATACTTGTCTCATCATACTTGTCTCATCATACTTGTCTCATCATACTTGTCTCATCATACTTGTATCATCATACTTGTCTCATCATACTTGTATCATCATACTTGTCTCATCTACTTGTTCATCATACTTGTCTCATCATTACTTGTCTCATCATACTTGTCTCATCATACTTGTTATCACATACTTGTCTCATCTTACTTGTCTCATCTACTTGTCTCATCATACTTGTCTCATCATACTTGTCTCATCATACTTGTATCATCATACTTGTCTCATCATACTTGTCTCATCATACTTGTCTCATCATACTTGTCTCATCATACTTGTATCATCATACTTGTATCATCATACTTACGACTACCATGAATCACTTATGATCTTGATACACAATGATGCCTTAAAATGTGATGATTCTAGAATAATGTAGTAAGTAGTGTTTTATTATTAGTTCCTCCAGAATACATATTAAGTGACTATCAAAATTATAACCAAATTATATGTAAATCTAACTGTTGTAACTTCACTGTGTGATCTTTAGAAATAAACCTTTTATTTTATTTTTTTACAGGAGAGTGACACCAACAGTCTAGCAGATCAGAACCTGGGCCACGATCACTGCTCGGAGGATCGAGCCTGCAGCACTCCCTGACCTGAGTTACCTACACCACTTATTAAATATGATAAGAGGCAAATATAAGAGAGGTAGATATGAGAGAGGTAATTATTATAGATGTAAATATGAGAGATGTGAGTATGATAGATGTAAATATGAGAGATGTGAGTATGATAGATGTAAATATGAGAGATGTGAGTATGATAGATGTAAATATGAGAGATGTGAGTATGATAGATGTAATAACTTGTAAATCCTTGAAGATATTCCTCTATATCTCCCTCAGGGAAGGGAAGTGCAGGTGGGGCTTGTGTCTTGATACTGCTGAAGGAATTTTTCATCCAAGGAATTAGAGCTACACTCCCCTTGGGTCAAAGGTGACCGCCTCTTATTCCCCAGACGCTGTATAGCCCCTTATTGGTTTAGTGCTTCCTTATGAATGTAATAATTGAGTTGCTTTCCTCTTCCCCGGATCAAACCCGTTTACCTCTATATCCACAAACACTGTTGCCAATATCAGCTTAGTGTTTACCCATGAATATATTAAAATTAACATGTAATAATAATTATGTAATAATCATAACAAAATGATAATATGTAATAATAATCAACATGTAATAATCATAATAATCATGTAATAATCATAATAACATGTAATAATCATAATAATCATGTAATAATCATAATCAATGTAACTATAATAATCAAGGTGACTAATAATCAGTATGACAATGACCCCTCAAGGGAAGTTCCTTTGTGCTGGTGAAGGGGCTCTTGATTCAGGGAACTGGATCTGTCTTCCAATTCATTGAATCAGGTCTGAATATCTTCCATGTTCCAAAATGCTGCATGACCTCTGCGGATCTAGCGCTCTCATGAATGCAATAATAATATGTAGGCGTTGATAAAATGGGAGATAAGAATGTGAAAGAAATGTGTAGACAGTATTACTGATGTGAAGGCAGTGTAGACAATATTACTGATGTGAAGGCAGTGTAGACAATATTACTGAGTGAAGCAGTGTAACATATTATGATGTGAAGGCAGTGTAGACAATATTACTGATGTGAAGGCAGTGTAGACAATATTACTGATGTGAAGGCAGTGTAGACAATATTACTGATGTGAAGGCAGTGTAGACAGTATTACTGATGTGAAGGCAGTGTAGACAATATTACTGATGTGAAGCAGTGTAGACAGTATTACTGAGTGAAGCAGGTAGACAATATTACTGATGTGAAGGCAGTGTAGACAGTATTACTGATGTGAAGGCAGTGTAGACAATATTACTGATGTGAAGGCAGTGTAGACAGTATTACTGATGTGAAGGTAGTGTGTAGACAATACTACTGATGTGAAGGCAGTGTAGACAGTATTACTGATGTGAAGGTAGTGTGTAGACAATACTACTGATGTGAAGGTAGTGTGTAGACAATACTACTGATGTGAAGGCAGTGTAGACAATATTACTGATGTGAAGGTAGTGTGTAGACAATACTACTGATGTGAAGGCAGTGTAGACAGTATTACTGATGTGAAGGCAGTGTAGACAATATTACTGATGTGAAGGCAGTGTAGACATTATTACTGATGTGAAGGCAGTGTAGACAATATTACTGATGTGAAGGCAGTGTAGACATATTACTGATGTGAAGGCAGTGTAGACAGTATTACTGATGTGAAGGCAGTGTAGACAATATTACTGATGTGAAGGCAGTGTAGACAGTATTACTGATGTGAAGGTAGTGTGTAGACAATACTACTGATGTGAAGGCAGTGTAGACAATATTACTGATGTGAAGGTAGTGTGTAGACAATATTACTGATGTGAAGGCAGTGTGTAGACAATATTACTGATGTGAAGGCAGTGTGTAGACAATATTACTGATGTGAAGGCAGTGTGTAGACAATATTACTGATGTGAAGGCAGTGTAGACAATATTACTGATGTGAAGGCAGTGTGTAGACAATATTACTGATGTGAAGGCAGTGTGTAGACAATATTACTGATGTGAAGGCATGTGTGTAGACAATATTACTGATGTGAAGGAGTGTGTAGACAATATTACTGATGTGAAGGCAGTGTACACAGTATTACTGATGTGAAGGCAGTGTGTAGACAATACTACTGATGTGAAGGCAGTGTGTAGACAGTATTACTGATGTGAAGGCAGTGTAGACAGTATTACTGATGTGAAGGCAGTGTGTAGACAGTATTCTGATGTGAAGGCAGTATGTAGTAAATATTACTGATGTGAAGTGAACAATATTACTGATGTGAAGTGAACAATATTATGTGTGAGTAAAAATTATTTTGATGTAAAGTGAACAATATTACTGATGTAAGTAAAACAATTTTACTGTGTGAAGTGAACAATATTATGTTAAAGTGAAAAATATTACTGATGTGAAGTGAACAATATTACTGATGTGAAGTGAACAATATTACTGATGTGAAGTGAACAATATTACTGATGTGAAGTGAACAATATTACTGATGTGAAGTGAACAATATTACTGATGTGAAGTGAACAATATTACTGATGTGAAGTATACAATATTATGATGTGAAGGTGAAAAAATATTCTGTGTGAATGAACAATTTTAATGATGTGAAGGAAAAAAATATTAGATTGGAAGTGAACAATTTTTCTGATGTGAAGTATATAGACAACATGTTAACATTTAAATAGTGAATAAATTATAAGACAGAGTAGGTTAGAGCAAGTTACAAGTGTCATGTTAGGAGGCAGAAGTGAAACTACAGTATTACAGATTTTGCAACTTGGGTAGGGAGAAATGTTGCAAATAAGTCTGCAAAGTCAAAATATATATATAAAAAATTTAAAAGAGTATCGAAAACTTTGGAAATTATTCAATATACAAATATATTTTGTGTGTGTGTGTACTTACCTAACTCACCTAATTGTGGTTGCAGGGTCGGACTAGTCCTGGTGTTGTGTGTGTGTGTGTGTGTTTGTGTTGTGTGTGTGTGGTGTTTGTGTTGTGTGTTTTGGGTGGGGGAGGGGGAGAATTTTATATTAAAACAAAAACCATTACAGCACAAAATATTGTGGATCTAAGGGGGCCCGTAAAAAGGCGGGAACAGCTCACCACTACTGCATCACCACCTAACACTGGTGAAGGGAAGGTGGTTCACTACTCCACCCCCCACTAACACTGGTAAAGGGAAAGGGGGGGGTTCCTACGCACCCCACACTAACATGGTGAAGGAAGGTGGTTTCACTCGCTCACCACACTAACACTGGGAAGAAGGGGGTTTCACTCTCCATCACCACCTAACACGGTAAAGGGAAAGGGGGTTTTCACTCCCTACCACACTAACACGGTGAGGAAGGTGGTTCACTACTGCATCACCCACTAACACGGGGGGGAAGGTGGTTCACACTCCATCACCACACTAACAGGTGAAGGAAGGTATTCACTATGATCACCACACTAACACGGTGAAGGAATGGTTCACTACTGCTCCCCACACTAAAAATGGTAAAGGAATGGGTTCACTCTGCTCACCACTAACCTGGTGAAGGAAGGTGGTTCACTCTGCATCACCAATAACAGGGTAAAGGGAAAGGTGGTTCACTACTGCATCACCACAAAAACATGGTAAGGGAAGGGGGTTCACTACTGCATCCCCACACTAAATGGTAAGGGTGGTTCACTACTGCATCCCCACATAACACGGGTGAAGGAAGGGGTTCACTACTGCATCAACACAAACAGGTAAAGGAAGGTGATTATACTGCATCCCCACATAAACCTGGTGAGGAAGGGGGGTTCCTACTGCATCCCCACACAACATGGTGAAGGAAGGGGGTTTCACTACGCATCACCACACTAACACGGGGAAAGGAAGGTGGCAGTCCAAGCACCAGTATCAAGGAGGATTCTGCATTTCCCATGAGACCGGGAGGGATATAGTTCAAGAAAAGTCAAGGACCTTGTTACGGGTGAAGGGCAAATAATATTTCAAAGAAATTTTAGGACTCTCCCTTCCTTTGGGAAAAACCCTCATTCCTGCCATTTAAGGGGTTTTATAAACCCTACAGGTTTATCACTTCTCCCCTGAAAAAAAATATAAAATTTTTTTTACAGAATGAAATTTTTTCTGACACTGACCCTGTTGGTTTAGTGTCTCATGAACATGACACTAGACCGTGTTGGTTTTAGTGTCTCATGAACATGAACTATGACCCGTGTTTGGGTTTAGTGTCTCATGAAATGACACTATCCAGTGTTTGGGTTTAGTGTCTCTGAACATACACTATGACCCGTGTTGGTTCAGGTTCATGAACATGAACTATGACCGTTGGGGCTGTCTCAGAAATGGGCACGTATGCCATGTTGGGTTTAGTGTTCAGAAAATGACACTATGACCCGTGTTGGGTTTAGTGTCTCATGAAAAATGACACCGTTTGACCCGTGTTTTGGGTTCAGTGTTCATGAAAATGACACTATGACCATGTTGGGTTAATGTCTATGAACATGCACCGTAGACCGTGTTGGTTTGGTTCATAACTGACAGTATGACCATGTTGGTCAGTGTCTCATGAACATGACACCGTATGACCAGTGTTGGTTCAGTGTCTCATGAACATGACACCGTTGACAATGTTGGGGTTTGTGTTTTGAAATGACACTATGACCAGTGTTGGTTCAGTGTCATAAACTGACACGTATGACCTGTTTTGGGTTTAGTGTTCAGAACATGACACTATGACCATGTTGGTTCAGTGTCATAAACTGAATTTTTGACCATGTTGGTTCAGTGTCTCATGAACATGACATATGACCAGTGTTGGTTCAGTGTTCATGAACATGACATTATGACATGTTTTGGTTCGTGTTCCCTGAACAGACACCCTATGACCGTGTTTGGTTTGATCTCATGACATGACACCGTATGACCCCTGTTGGTTCAGAGTCTATGAAAATACATGACCAGTGTTGGTTCAGTGTTCAGAACATGACACCCTATGACCGCGTTGGTTCAGGGTCTCATAAAAATGACACTTGACCAGTGTTGGTTCAGTGTCTCATGAACATGACACGTATGACCAGTGTTGGTTCAGTGTCTCATGAACATGACACTATGACCAGTGTTGGTTCAGTGTCTCATGAACATGACACTATGACCAGTGTTGGTTCAGTGTCTCATGAACATGACACTATGACCCGTGTTGGTTTTAGGTCTCATGAAATGACACTATGACCAGTGTTGGTTCAGTGTCCCCCATGAAAATACACTTGACCATGTTGGTTTAGTGTCTCATGAACTGACACTATGACCAGTGTTGGTTAATGTCTCATAAAATGACACTAGACCAGTGTTTGGTTTGTGTTCATGAAATGAACTATGACCAGTTTTGGTTCAGTGTCTCCCTGAACGACACTATACCAGTGTTGGTTCATGCATGACTATGACATTGTTGACCATGTGGTTCAGCACATCAGAGTTGGCATGGTCCGTGCCCCCAGAGTATGGCACTGGCGTGCCCCATGAGTATGGCACTGGTAGTGGCCTCCCCTGATATGGGACTGGTCAGTGCCTCCAGAGTATGGCACTGGGTGCCTTCATGAGATGGGATGGTCAGTGCCTCCATGGATGGCACGGTCAGTGCCTCCAAATATGGCAGGTCAGTGCCTCCATGAGTAGGCACTGGTCAGTGCCTTATGAGTAGGGACGGCAGTGCCTCCATGAGCATGGACGGGTCAGTGCCCATGAGTAGGGACTGGTCAGTGCCCATGAGTATGGCACGGTCAGGCCTCCATGAGCATGGCCTAGTCAGTGCCTCCTGATATGGGATGGGCAGTGCCTCCATGGCATGGCATGTTCAGTGCCTCTGAGCTGGACTGGTCAGTGCCCCCAGGCTGGCACTGGTCAGGCCCCATGAGTATGGCACTGGTCAGTGCCTCCATGATATGGGATGGTCAGTGCCTCCAGAGTATGGCACTGTCGTGCCCCCCAGAGTATGGAACTGGTC